CCAGGACGCCTAAATCTTTTTCGGCTCGGGATACTACTAGAGAGGAGTTTCCTAAGCTGTAACTGTAGTCTGAGACATGTCGTAGATAGACTACTTTGCACTTTAAAGTGTTAAAGGTAAGTCCGTTATCATCTGCCCAACTTTGAAGTCTAGTCAGATCCTCCTTCAATACTTTAGAAGATGGGTGGGATTATACAAAACGTCCTCACTTCAACTTAATGTATTGCAAACAAGAATAATGGTCATGTTGACGCTCATGTAGTCACTTTATCTGTCACAGTGTGTTTTTTGGTTGAAAAAGCTAGATTATGCTGTGAATTTTTCTCTGGCTGTGACTTTTATCTGCCACATCTGACTGTGTTACACCGGACATCCATTGCATTCTGTAATGTTATTCTAAGTCATAGTGAGCCTAGTCAAATGGTTGTTTTTCAAAGTAGACCTTCAATGAATAGTGTTATTGTAGAAAGGTTTGTTGTGCTCTAAACTGTTGGCTTCAGGCTCAGAACAATATCGTTTGTTCTATATTAGGTAAGTTTTATTGGACTATATATCGTGTTTTTGGTTTATAGGTCTGATTATCTACATTAATTCACTTTGAGCAACATGTATGTGCAAATTAAAAAATTTATGACACCTGCTTAGTTTAATATTCTTGGTTATCGTACAATTCAGCTTAGTGCTTGAAGCCCTTAGTGAAGCAGAGCAGTTTGGTAATCAAACTGCTCACGCACTTCAGTTAGTATGCCGAAGCGTCACAACTCGAAAAAGTTAAGTGTGTGATACACTGACCTGAGTAGCAATACCATAAGTCGAGGAAGAATAACGAAACCGTAGAAATTAGCACGAACTCTCTGAGCATTACGCAACTTGCGGAATTTCATTACATCTCAACATTATATTACGCAGCTACACCAGAAGAACATTGAAAAAACACAGAACTGAGCAAAAGAGCAGCTGTTGTTCACAGAGATGGCGGAAATGATAATTAATGCTCTATTCTGATTGGTCGCTAATTCTACTGACAAAATTTCGAAACGAAATTGCGTTTAATTGCAGACATGAAGATAAAATCTATATTCTTAATCTTGACCTTGTACTTGACAATCAACCATGAGTCGTGAATAATTGTTTTGCACTATCGTGGTCCATGATGAAGGGTGTGTTTCGTTCTCTGTCAATTTCACGGACCTACGTGGAAAATATGAAATGTTTTACGACGGAAATGCCACTGCATTATTCTATTATTATTATTATTATTCACAAACATCTTATGGGTACATAAGTGTTGTGAAGAAACCATTTCGGGTTTCTTCAAAAAAATGCAATAATACACAATTTTCAATAATGTCAGCATTCTACTGGCCATTTAAAAAAAATTTTGAGCAATAATAGTAGAATATTAATAATAATAAATCGGGTCTGTGCAATTGAGAAGAATATTGAATTGAGTCTAAAGAAGGAAATGCAGAAAATAAGGGAATAGAAATAAAGGAGACATGAAATGCTCAAACAGTCTAATAGGCGTGTTTACGAACACAGGACAAGAATAAACGGCTATGTGTGTATCGTTAAATTAGTAACAAAAAATAATTAAGAAAAAATAACTTATAATTACAGTAAGATATGACTCTAGAATAAATGTTTGTGCAGTTATAGTTTAGAGTGATGCGATGAAAGTCTCAATTGAGTGAAAAGGACAATAAAATATCAATATGTATGAGTAGTCATATATGCATAGTGAAGATAAAACGGGTCTGAGAATTTAATTTAAATGTAACACAAGTTATTGTTTTAATTACAAACTTCGTAATCTTAAGAATAATATTTATTTAGAAGGAAAAGAAGTGAACACTTAGTGAAAAGTTTTGATTCATGATAAGAATAATAATTGTGTGATGAATAGCTACCTCAGAATGAAACCAACAATTGAGAAAAATAAAATAAAAATCATTTAATGCACTCGGATGAATACATTTAGATTTATGTAATGGTATACAGAGTGAAACCGGATATTAGTATAAATATTTGTGCAATAATAATTAAGATTGATGCTATGAAAGTCAAAATTGATTTTAAAGGACAATCTGGAGTTAAATATGTTTAGAAAGATAAGAAGATACAAAAAGAATATCTAATGTGTCAGGAAACTAATAATGATATTAATAACGGAAATAATGATAAACACGAACATAATCAGATTTCATATATTAAGATAAATAGAAATAAAATAAAATAGATGTGGAAAGATTTAAAGGTTTTATTTTGCTATGGACGTGCCAAGTGCGATGCACACACTCATGATGGGAAAAATGTTGCAACGTAGCAAAAGTCATACCTTCAATTAACTCTGTGATATGAAACTGTTACAAAATATCCACAGCTGAGTGACTAAATGAAAGAAAACGATCATATTTACTGACAACGATCTGCTCAGATGACTTGACAACTTGAGTTTATCCCTAGCCGCCAATATATTTTGGCCTTATAGTTAATGTTGGTTTGTGGTAAAAAAAGCTATGTTATAATTCCAAACTCTAGCTTCCAACCCTCACTTATTTATAATTCATTATGGAAATTTACAACTACTTTCACACAAGTAAAATGTTATGTCGCCAAGGTCATCATAGCATTTAGTAAAGATCGTTAGAAAATTGTAGATTCACACAAATGACCAAGAGAAGATAGCTTAAGTAGATCTTGACGACCGCTTTGTAGTATACGAGGACATACTCACGCCCGTTTATCCCAGTGAAGGAGCATAGGCCGCTCACCTGCATTCTCCGACCAGCTCTGTCTTGGGCAACCCTTCCTAGTTGTTTCCAGTTGCTATTTATTCCTTTGATGTTTGCCTCCAATTCCCGACGCAATGTGTCCCTTGTTTTTCCACTTTTCCTTCTCCTTTCAGGAGTTCAGTTTGGTGCTCACCTCACCATGTAGTTCAGTGATTTCTTCAATGTGTATCCTATCCACTTTCAACACCTTTCCCTAATCTCCTCCTCAGTCTGGAGTTGGTTTGTTCTCTCCCACAGTAGGCTGTTGCTGATGGCATCCGGTCAACGGACATTGAGTATCTTGCGTAGACAATATTGTCTACGCAATATTGTTTATCAATACCTGTACATTTTTGATAATGGTTGTATTCGTTCTTAAAGTTTTCTCTCTGTACAGTAAACTGACTTGACGTTCGTATTGAAGATTCTGACTTTGATATTGTTGACAGTTGTTTTGAGTTCCCTATATTATCGAACTGTAGTAATGCTGTCCTTGCTTTGTCAATCCGTTTGTCGCTCTTCCAAGGCAATTTCCAGTTTCAATTCCAGGTAAAGAAGTGTTGGGTGCGTGTTTCACAATCCCATTCCTTAGAAAACAACCTTGTTAAAAAAGACGCTAATCAGAATATACCCTGACATGAAACATACGAGACGATACACTTTAGTTTCATGTGGTTCGATGCTTTTCTTTTACAGAATAAACCTCATTTCTGGGTGTTCTGGTGAGTTTCAGGATCTGTACGGCAAACAAAGCTAGTTGGTCTATGGCATTATTTCAGAATGATACGAGAATCACCTGCCCTTGTTTTGGAAAGCTTACACAAGAAGAGCTATCCAGAGTTGCACTAGTCAAAGGTCCGTTTACCAATGACCTCCCTCATATGTAGCAACAATTCTGTAGCTAAGCTGCGTTGTAATTTGATCTTGTGAAAGAGTTGGTCTAACTTTTGTCGATCGGTCAGGTCTAATTGTTTACCGCCGAACCTTTTAATAATCTATTAAGGTTATGAAACTTCAGTAGGAAACATACTAGGTGTGACGTAATTGTTAAAATCGCGCGCCAGTGCCCTAACTACTATTAGAAATTGGGCACGTGGGTCTATTTGGCCATGCTCATGGAAGCCAGCCTTTGTATGGCAGAGTTATACCTCGATATTATCGAGCCAAAATGGTACGAGTAGAAAGGTGGGTTTGTGAGAGTCTTAATCTTCAGCAGTTTAGGTATCCATTTTGTCACAATGAGCATGAAATATGTGAATGGATAAAAACTCGGATAATGCGAAAATAATAAAGCGATATGTAAAAATGAAAATCAAGAAGTGGTATATAATATCACAGTTTACCGTTTAGAGTATCGGGTCAGGTCGAGCTCACCAATGAATATGTCACAGATATTCAATTTGACAATGCCTTTGTCCGTTACAGCTGCACAGTAAAAGTATACTAACCTGGTCAAATCAGAAGTCGTGAATGGATAAGTCGAAGCTATACTTAGAAGGTTGTCGATGTGTTGAGGAACGTTTGATATAAGCTGGCTAGTAGCTGCAAAAAATGGATAGCACGAAGCTTCCACTCGTGAACAGATGCAAATGTGCGACCTAGCGCTTTCGGTTAGGATGTGTGCATTACAACGTACGAGGTCAATATCAATGTTGAAGACCTGCAGAACTATTTACGCTGAGCATTTACTTACCGCTAGAACGGCTATTATCGTTTTAGTTTTCAACTACCTGGCTAAAATGTTATGGGAAACTTTCAGAGTTTACGGAAGGACTTCTCAGGAAATGCGTCCAGTCATTAGTTTTTTGATTTATATCAAACTCTTTGTTCTTCAATAACCAAAAAAGACATCTCTAAATTATCATTTCGCCTTGATTATTTCATGTTTCAGGTGATGTGCTACTTCTATTTGCTTAACAGCCAGCTAAACAACCTCAATCCTCTGTTTATATCACTTCATCATATACAATACACCATTCCAAATTTATATGGTTTCTTAACCACGGGCATTTCAGCCTTACTTCTGACAAGAATTCCCCTACATTTGATATGAAATGGAAAACAGAACATATTCAGCTTAGAAAGATGATGAAGAGCAACACAGCCCAAACAGTTTGTTTGTAGATTTTGATTTATGCAGTACTTCACCCGCAAATCTATCCGTGAGAAGTTTTTGATTATCTCGTAAATTTGTTTAACTACGCCAATTTATATTCTTACAGCATTGAAAAGTATCCGGTCTAGATGTTTGATGCATTCAAACACAAACGGTGTCCATTGTCTTAAGAAGAAATAGGTTTTGTTATTAAGTCTCCATGAGGCTTCATATTTCCTGGTTTACATGATCAAATCGTATTTTGGCTCAAGAATCTTCACATATTTGTGATTTGTACTGGGTCGTCCTTGTTGTGTTGTGCTCCTTTTGTGTCACTTATTCGATATTAAGGGCAGGTGAGGGTCATTAGTCATGACAGCATATGCGTAAGTATTTTGCTTGAGATTGTGTTTTTGGCATTTATATGTCATTATTTTGGTATTATTTAAATAACCACACATATCTTTGCATGAAAAGTTGTCAGAGATCTCACTGTTCACTCGAGAACGTAATCATATTGTCACTACTCAACTTAATAAGTTATGTAATAAATATATCATACGGTCAAACTAGGCTTATCAATGGAATTATCGGCAGTTAAATGCTTGAAAAAATAGTCATAGAAAGCCCACCAGCTTTGCCAACTTGTTTATCATTCAAAAGCCTTAGATATTTGAAAATAAATAGTAAGATCCCCACAGTCAAGCTAGTTTTAAAGCTTCAAATTTTATTCTAATCTCCGTTGGCGTCTATTCATCACAGGTCTGTATATTCAGGTAGAATCATGAATTTATTTGACAAATGTCTTCACTTTTCAAGGCTTCATAAACATTCAGTTTTAAATTAGGTGTCAGTGTTACCGTTTTTCATTTAACCCGTATCTCATGTTGGTTGGGTTGGCTGACCTAGTAACCAGTCCTATGTTAAAAACACAGTAACCTTGAATATTGTTGTAGTTTATTTCAAGCAATGGAAATGAACCTAGATCGTAATATTTATTATAGCATTTACATTTTGACCAATCCATTATTTCCGGACTTAATTTCTTACATCAGCCTTTTCATTACATCCATCAACTCAACCCTTCCACCTTCAATCCTAGTAACTTGTGGTTTGTGCAGTAGCAGTTTGAATTGATGTACGTTCGTACTAGGTTGCACGTTGTTTGTAACTAACTCCACATTATAAGCTTTTGCTAAATGAATCAAATTGTAGTTCTCCGACTTAATTTATCATGTTAACCAGTCAGCTTAGACGTGACCATATTTCTCACTTATTCAATCCTCCCAACTCACGAACTTGAAATGTGGCCAGGCATCATGCACTGTTTGTTTGCGTAGACCACGTATTTTAGTTCACGAAATTACATGAGCGAAACCATATTGTCATTAAAATTCTTGACGAAATGCATAAGTTTTATAACTTGTCACCTAAAATTCAGTCATTTAGTCCCTAACTGTCAGAAAAAGATTCAGAATGAATGTTTTTGAATAGTGATCGCAAGACTTCATGGTGCTAATATCATGGCCTTATTGGAAATATCCTGAAGTTGTCTTAGTTTCATGTTTTTAGATACACAATTACTCTACCTAATCTCACCACTCTTAGCTTTTGTCAAAAACACTGAATAATGTGACGATGGGAGTTTCCTCATAGCTATCGAGTATCATTTATGAATCCTGGTCTTTTTGAGTTGAGTATGTTTTACTGCTCTGTTCCACTAATATTATCTTCAAGAGATTGCTGACATGCGGTGACATCATTATGTTAGTAATTCTGTGGCTAAATCGTCATTTTCATTTTATTTGTGTATGGGCTGTGATACTGCCCGGGTGCTCAAACCGAAGCACGTGTTTTTCTTAGGGGGCCACACCCCCAGCCTTTGACCTGAAGGTCTGATCCACAAGGCAGTGAAGCATCGTGAGGAGATGCAGTCCCATGGTAGCCAGTGACCAACGATTGGTTCATACGCCATTTGTTTCCGCAGGATACTGGGGCCCATGTGCACCATTGGTTTGGGATCCGGTTAAGGTGCCGGACATTTGCTTTTCGTCCTCTCATTTTCGTAGACAACACCCCCGACACGAGAAAGCAGTGAGTAGGACTTCCTTGGCGGAGGCTATATACTCGTGGCCGTGTGAGAGCATTTCGAAAGGGAGGGCGGACCCACTCCACTCGGCCATACCAGGGCATTGGGAGGCTGAACAATGTGTTTGGGTACACTGATGATAATTTGGTTGGTGTCACCATCTTAAAATACTGGTCTTGGTAACTCGGAGCTGTCTCGCCAAAGTCATCGCAGCGACTTTCATTTCGTGCACTAATCACCGACTCTGGGACATCGTAAAAAGTGGAGAGTTTGTCAGCTTATAATAGCACCGTGGTCTAAAAGTAAGCTGTATAGGATTGATATCTATCGATCCATTTCAACCCCGTGGTTGAGGGGCTAGAGTGCAACACAATGTCATGAGATTCTATAGAACACCGCTCAGAAGCCAGTGAATATTCTGTTGTAATTTCTCTTCATTCTGGTTAGTGTTTTTTTGGCAAGGTTGCTTTCTACGGTGTGGGGCTGCCGGCCCCACAACTAACCCTTCTTTATCCGGGCTTGGGATCAGCAGTAGCCCTAGAAGAGTTACAGGTGGAGTTAATTTCCTTTCACACTTACTATTCATTTTCGGTTGTACTCATCCTCCTTTATCTCTTCACAGTTCTATTTCCTTATTTGTGTGGTGCATACTTATTTTGGTACTCATTTATACCATTACATGTACTAAATAAAATAAATAATAAAGGAATAGACATTGCCACTTCCGTTTATCGTAATTGTATATGTTGCATATAATTCCGCAGAATATAGGTTTTAATGCTTGTTTACAGAAGGCTGAAGAGGCTTCTTGAAAGATATTTAAGTTCTAAAAGGCTTATGTACCCAAAGTGTTTTAAATAGCAGTCAGTCAGCTACAACGTAGGACCAGGCACATATATCCATCGGTCCAAGTTGCCACACCGCATTAACACAGCAAGAATTTTAAATAGCTTGATGATGTCTCTGATTACTACCCAGGTCTGAATTTTCGAATCATTATTTCTTAAACTCAGAAGTGCTGGCTTGTATGTCAACAGACAACTAACGTTCACATACCCCTGACGATTATCATCTCACATAAAACAAGTTATCTCATTGATGTAATAGTTTCCATTTCAATAAAACGCCAAAGTAAGCACTAGAACTGTATCTTGGCTCAGTAACATTCGATAACCATAGTGATTAAACGTTCATCCTTCACTGTTAGATCAGACAAACTGGCAAACCTGTTCATATCTAAACCACTGAATATTATTTATATCCTATAGTTTCACTTAAGATGGACAGTAATAAGTATGTGTTGATACATACTAACCCTAAAAAGTTCTTTCAGTTTAACTTGACAAGTAATGTCGAGTGCTGCTTATTCACACTAATATCTTTACTCAGTTATCTTGTTTACCTTACGGAAAACTACAAATTATCTTCACCTGACCGATTAAACGCAAAGATTCCTTTTCATAGTTTTAGTTTTTTGTTATTTCCACATTTCTCCACTAGTTGTTTATATTGTTCTACCGGTAGTCATATAGTCTACAATTCATTTGGTATTCTGGATCTTCCAAAACCATGTTGTTAAATACTTTCACAGCAACATTTTGCTTTAAGTAATTTGTCGGCTACTCTCTGGAGCAAATGTTCGAAATGTAACTATGTTTCGATGTGACCACATTTACACACTTTACTGAATCCAAATAATTTACAACTAAATGTCCCCTTTAAACGTAGCTAGGTGACAGATGCTAAGGATCACTTTAAAAGACAATCACCTGAGGATTGACGCAAGAACTCGAAAATAAGGAAAATTTCCAGGCTCTTAACAAAAATCGCATATAGGACGTAGTATTAGAAAATGTATACTGAGCTTGATTGTAAGTTGTTATTTTCTGTGATATGTTTAAATGTCACGAAGTGCTTTCTAGTCTACATTAAAGCATATTGTGTATTTAAGACTCAAGCTTTTAATACACCCCGTTACAGATAATTTTGATGGTATGTTTGCTGTGTACATGTTGCAAAGCTGCATATTAATTACTTTTTCAGCACCAATATACCTGCCATAGATCCCAGTTTAGGACAACTCGTCGAATTACCAATAGATCAAGCTGGCGCATACGTCATCCAAGATGCAAGTGGTGGTCAAATCCAGTTAGGCAGTGTTCAGGGTGGAAAGAGTTTACTGAAACCCGAATTAGCCCAACACTTAAGCCAGCATACTGGTTACAAGGTTAGTTTATTTAAGACCTCATTTTCACCATATTTGTGCTTACAAACGTACTAGACATTATCTATCCTTTAACTTTTTCTTTCAATTGCACTATTCTACGGTTTTGAAATATTAAGCACTGAAGTTGGCTTCGTTAATCTGAAAATAACAGCATGTGTTAGTAAAGGAGTCTGACTGCGACCTCCATTTTGGTGCAGGAGTTAGGCTTGAGAATCGTTACAAACCAAACTGTGTTGTCCGAAACACTCGCTTCTTTCAATCCTTTTATTCCAAGATGGTTAGTTGGATAGCTGCAAGACTAAGAGCATTAAATGTGAGGTTGGAGGATGAAGTCTAATTGTTACGGAGATTCAACAAAAGCAGGAGAACTACGGGTCACCGGTAACTTTAGTTATGCTACATTCCCTCGATATAGGTCAATACACAATATCCCAGGCTACACGTTGATAATGACTGGCCGACCGATGTTTCCGAAAATACAATCGGTCGGTAGGGGTCGGTTCTACAAGTACTGCACAGATTTTCTGTTCCATGAATGAGGTTAAGAAGATAAAGTTCACATAATAAGAATATTGTGCGTGACCACCCTTAAATATATGATGATACACAGGTCTAGAAGGTCACAACCATCATGAATCAGATTTTCTCTCAGATTCCTCAGATTGAGGAAATATCCTGGGTTATGAGTGTTTTGACAGAGGATCTGATTATAAAACCTCGTCTAAGTAGGTCTCAGGAGGGAAACTTTGACCGTCTAACTGAATATGAATTCTGAAATTATAGATTTAAAATGTACAATGGTCAACCACACTAGTGTGTTTATGAGTTGTGTTGAATAAATAAACAGGAATGATGATGCGCGTCACGAAAAATCAATGATTATTTACATCTCTTCGCCATGACCCTATGAAGTGTATGTCGTTCACATATACACGAAGCTCTCACTTCGAAATACCAAAATAAGCGGTGTTCATTGTTCGGTTTTCCTTAACCCCTCTGTTAGTATCTACTTTAAATGATGTGCATATATGAATATTTCATAACAAATGTTCACCATACAATCTAACAATTTAAATGCTATTGTTCTATGTTTTTCCCTTCATTATGATCCACAGCAGTGATGTCAAGTCTGCGGAAAGCCTAAAGTGAAACTATTAGCGGAAGGCATATTATTGAAGAGTGCTAAATAAAATTGCTCACTCATCACGTTTGTTAAGATTTGTAGACCATTAGTGATTTCTCACTAGCTTTTGTCATATAGATTAACATTTCATTATACGTACAAAGTTGAGTAGATAGTCAAAAATATATCTGGTTAAGAAACCTTTTTTCGTGGAGTTTAATCCTCTTCATAAGAAACATTGTCCTACAACGTGACGTCGTATAGAATCAAGACTTACATTTCTTATGATTTCTTTTTTAGGATGAAACAAGAATCCCTGAATTGCTATTTATTTAAGTGAAATAACAGTCCAACTAAACAAACTGACCTCATTTCTCATCACACCGCAATCATTCGTACAACTTTAAGTTGCCTACAGTATTTTGGCTTACTCGTTGACTGACTTTCAAATAATGTCACTTTTTTTGTTAGTGTGCTTGAGTAAATCCATACTTGCCATTCATAAACTATCTCTCTAATCTATTTTATCTTTTAGTCGAATGTTGGTAGAGGAGGCTTCACTTTGAGTAGTAATGATGCTCGTTGGGTTTCACTCAATGCAAATCGTGGATCACGTAGCATCACCAGGTTAGTTATTTTTCCAATAATATTTACAACGGTAATGTAGCTTAACAATGCTAATGTTTATATATTCATCCAATTCATTTACTGTCCCGAACTCAGATCCTCGCAAATTCTTAATTTCTTAACGTTAGAGTATTCCGTAATAAACGGTTGAGATTGAAAGTCAGTGGATGTTAGTTTATAAAATCTTAAAGTAAATTAATATCTATGTTAGTTCATTAGATCTCGCATCCCACTGGTTCATTCCTTGTGTCTCATGAAATTTATGGTAATATCGATGTTTCATGTTCAAGCTTAATTTAGATTAGGTTATTTGAGAAGGATTAAGAACTATGTAAGTTATATCCCTTTTGTTGTTGAGTTTCAAATTTTCTAATGATTAAAAGACAAGACGAGATTTTTTTACAGAAACGAGTGTTTCGCTTTTCCAGTAACTAAATCGAAATCGTGATAAATCATTAATTGTTTTTGCCGCGTTGGTAGATTCAGACTAAGTGGTTGAGATCAGCGCGATAACTGTGATCAGTGTTTCGGAGACGTTGGGTTATACTTTCTAGGACTGATCGCAAAGCATTCTTTTTTAACAAGTTTCCGTTCTACGAAATAGGTTTACTAACCCCATGTTCCAGCCTCCTTTACCTGAGATCGGGACCGGCAGCAACCCTTAAAACTTTAGGTAAAGTTCTCCATACAGGCTCAGGTCCGTTCACTTTATCTTCATGTTAGTTATGATATTCAATATTATTTCGTACTTTTTGCTACTTTAATCTATGTTCGAACTGTATTCTCCGATATCTAGTCGTTCAGATCACTACTACTTCAATTCTTCTGTAATTCATCCTGCTAAGTTCATCTCGCCGTGATGTTGTATAAAAACTTAGGCTAACACATATCAGGTTCTGTTTTTTATGGTTGATTTTAATAAATTGATTTCAGCAATATTAGAACATTCATATGATTAAAATCTAACATAATGTGTTTCACGAAAATAGTTCAGCATCTTTCAAGTCTTTTGAATGACGCTTTCACCGCTGAAAAATCCAGTTAAATTCAGTAAGCGTAAGAAAACTTCAAGTGTTATGTATTCAGATTTCAGTAAAGGATAATTCATTTGTTAATATTTTCGGTGAACTAGACATGTTTAACGAATACCGTTCCAGTAGCTTGTATTATTTGTCAAAGTTGATAGTGGATAGAAAAAATGGAGAAATGATTAGTTTATAAAATGGTGCTATGGAATAAATCATAACGACATAAAATTGTTAGTCATTGGGTAGACTCTGCAAACCGTGCAACTCTTAGTTACTTGAGATGTTATAAATCCATGGCTAAAAATATAAGCTAGTGGTTATCCGTTTAGTTTCTTACTGTATTCCACCATATGGGTAAGATGCTGTGTAACTGAAATAAATCTACCTTGATTGATTCTGTGGTGTTTTCCATATTTCGTTAGATTGCTGTCATTTTACTTTGTATTACCCGTTCCTTGGTGGCTTTATTCCACCAGAATGTTTTACAATTATAACAATAAAAGTTCACCTTGAGCAGAGATAGATGGTAGTTATCAGAGGAACTCAGGACGCGCGTCCCGTCATATTCGGGACTCATCAACTAGATGTGGTTGGATCTGTGAGTTGATGTTCACTCGAACCCAGTATCGTCCGCCTCAAATGCCACTACTTTATTCACTTAGCCACTGAGTTCAGATAGCCACTAGCTTGTGCAATGGTGTTAGTTTTAATTCGTATATATTGGTTGTTTGTATCTTCCCATTAATATTTAGGACTGCATTTGATCCAAACAGCGAATATATATGAATAAAAGTTCATATTTCAAGATTATATATTGTATTGCCTTCTTTCTCTGTACGTAATGTATTCATCATTCGATTCATCACACTTATAATTAAATACTGGTCCATATTCGTAGTAGTTCCATACTCAATCATAACTTCATAAAATTTAAATCATCAAAAAGTGTTTAAGTACTGCTAGTTCTACATCACATGTATTCTGGATGCATACCGTTGGTAAACTCTTACTTCCATGTGTTGTTCGAGTGATATCGACTTTCGGTATTAATTACCCACTAAGTTTATCACTTGTTTTTCATATGGTTATTATTCCTCCTTTAATATTCGATAAGTTGATTAAATTTTCTCAATAATTTTTTGCACTTTATACCTTTTATAGCCGTAAACCTCTAAATGCAAGTGCTCCTGTAGCTCAATCAGCTGGACTGCAATCTACTGTACTGGCACCTGCGGCTTCAGGATTACTATCCTTGGGTACTCGTTATACTCCGTCTTCGGCTACTGTATTTGGTACGACAGGAGGAGGCTCGATATCTGGTGTTAATCAAGGTATAACTGGTGCAGGGGCAGCTACAATGATACCTTCGGGCACACCATCCAGTAATATTGTTTCAGGCGGTGTTGGTGCAATAGGCAGCATGGGTGTGGATCGAGACTCTGGTTATCGTTTAGCCGCCGCAATAGCTGGTACTAGTGGTCGAGGCCGCCCTCGAGGTCGAAGGCCTTTGAGGGTGAGTTAAGCCATAAATATTTACATGAATTTTCGTACTATATTTTTTCAAGATTTCGATCGACTATAACCTTCATGTAATAATCTTCCTCTTCACTTTGATATAGGGTCAGTTTCCTGTTGTTCCAATTGATATGGTTCGACAATTGGGCATTGAACAACAAGTCATTTTACAACCGGCGGCCCCAGTTGCCATGCGCAACAAAGCTGTGTTATGTCGACCATTGTCCATGTGTCGTAAAACTCAAGCGAATGCAACAACATACGAGAATTTATCCCAACATGGTGTTGCTGTGCAAACAGATAATTCTCCAACTGAAACAGAATCAAGTAACAAAAATGATAAAACATCTCTTGGGATTGAAATGCAAACCCAGACTGTTGACACAAAACCAGTTGAAAGTGATGATGATGATGACGACGACGATGATGATGATATGGTACCTGTAGGTGAAATTGAAGATGATCAAATATTAATGAAATCTGACCAACCAAGTTTTAGTTGTGCTGAGACATCAACTGCTGATGACATCGCTTTTGTCGAATCTGGCACTCAAACAGGTAAGTGCTTATTGCAAGGCAAATTCAATAAGTTGCGAAAAATACCTTCAAAATGGGATTTTTCACAGATAATGCTTTTTTTATTATCTAGGGGTGGATAAACCAAAATGTGGTATCAGTCCGTAACGTCACTGACTGTTGATCTAATCCGTATTGGTAGATCTAGATTTCACCTAGTTGGGATCAACACGATAACCACGATCAGTGGTTGAAGACTTCTGGTGATATCACTCAATATCGTTCACACTGACTCAGATTCTCTCTTGGTCTTCTAAATATTGAATTCCAATATTCCTTCATGCATACCTTCCCGCTATCTTTTGGAACCGTATTCTTAATGAAATTACGAAACGATCAAAGTCTGATAAACACTGAAAACTTGGAATCTTTGCACATCCGCTTCGTCCCCGTACGGGGGTCCTCACCAGTGCGCATCCAAAACTCCGTATGCGAGACTCGAACCCAGAACCTTCTGTCTCACGTGCAAACGCCCAACCTTTAGACGACTGAGTTCGTTGGTCGATGTTAATGCCCAACTTTAATCTACCCAGGATATTAAGCGACCATTTTACACTGTCCGAAACTGTTGAACTCCTGGTCACTGCTTCACACTAAAACTCTGTAAGATAGTTAATAGTCCACTAAAATCTTACAATAAGAGATGTGTGTATATGCAACAGTCGAGTTATCTGCTAATTTAGTAATAAAGTTTATACATGATAATAATTCGGAAAATATTCCCAACATCCACTATATTCGTGTCTTCAATATAGTTCCGTCTATACATCATTTAAAACAATAATGGCTAACATGACATTATTCGCTTCATTTGAAGCATGTAAATACCACTACTTTACAATACGTAGTTTCAACAAGATATTTTGTCTATTCAGTACTTGTTATCAGAAAAAAAACATGCAAATAAATGTTGGAAAATTTAGCTATTAATAAATCATAAAACACTAGTTTCTTACTATACCATAAACTGGGTTATTGATGTACACTGCAGTTCCATTATCTTTAATCTTTTTTGCGAAAATTTTGATTTACCCTTTATCCCTTATCTTACTTATACTTTTAGATTTAACCGATGAAGATGAATTGAAAAAAATGCCACTTGTACTACCCATACCTATCCCGGTTCCAATCTATGTACCTTTTCCAGTATGTTTATACGCAAGACCAGTGCCATATGCAATCCCCTATCCGTTACCATGTCCAGTTCCGATTCCACTTGTCTTCGATGCTACTCCAGAAACTCCGCATGTTGAAGGTAAAATACTGTCTATTAGTTAATTGTCCATGGTATTATTTACGTTTTATTTAAATAATGATCGAGCCTGGTTGTGCACTCCACGTGTTGGTGTATTGTTACGTTCCACCTTTAGTAGATTTACGTCTAAACTGAATGTATTTTGTGTACTGCAGGGGTGTAAAGAGCAGCGTGCCAGAGAATCTGGAAGAGAAAAGAACAAGAGTAAAACAGTAAGCCGATGACTCAGTAAACACATGGAACACGTTTACATTTAAGAATAAAATCAATCGACAATAATTAGAAATAGTACAAGTGTGGGATTAGGACAGCCTTGATAATCAAAACCATAAGTTAATAGCCTAAAATTTCTAATGCGTTACTGTATACTATACCTGTGTTACGCAATATTTCTGTGACGCCGCAACATTTTCACTAATTAAAACGTGTGATGTAGTCGTTGCATATTGCTCACTTGAGCTTCTTGTAAACATATGTGTAGTCGTATAAGTTCATTCTTCATATGAAGGATTATATCTTATAGGTTATATTAGAATAAGTCTTGACACGTATCATCAGGTCTTTTCATTATTCTAATTCTCGTTGCAGTTTGGTGTAATCTTGTTTCTTGAGCTCAATAAACCACTAAAAACTTATCTATGCGTTCTTGGTGGTAAATTTTTCAACCGGAAACTGATTTACATACATATAAGTAACTTGCTCATTAGTGAAGCTATACCTCATTGCCGTATCCACTTGAGTTTCAGCTTGTGATTTGCTATGGAACTGAAACACCTACCTCACTTTCAGAATTTTAACCGGTCACTAAGTTTTTTCAGCTTCGGCCCATAGGCTAGTACATGAGCATCCCAATAACTAATAAGTGACACATTTTACTCCATGGGCTATTAATTGAAATTGCCATTCATGATCATATTTTATTATCCAATTAACAACCACCAGTCACCGGCATATAATTAGGTTGATGTTAACTGTTTTCAGCGATATCCATTGGAAAAAGGTAACTATTAAAATAATGTATGTTAATAAAGGTGAGCATCGTGAGGGGTAAGAAAATTTGTTCCACTTGCAGCAACTGTCCGTTTGCTTCTCGACCAATAAAGAAAGTAGTTCTTTAAACATTCAATAATGAGTCTACTTTCAATAAGTATTGTAATTTTTCTAATTATTATTAGATTTGCGTCACTGAGACATACTGACATATATCCCAAAGATACAGAATTCAACATTATTCCCAATAAAAAAATTCTTTCTATTTTGAATTATTTTAGACCAAGGACAACAAGTTGACTTAGGCACTGGTAGAGCACTCATCGACTCTTCCGTTAAATTCAATGTACATGATTCATCAGTAACGGTAGGAGATAATGATAATCAAGCCGATACACAGGTTGGTGATTTAGAACGTTCAACACAGTCGATTGATTATCCATGTACATCATCAACGTCAAATGACGAAGAAGGCGATATAGAGACAATTGAAGAGGTTAGTCTTTTTCCTATCTTCATTCTCATTTCTCAGCGAATTGTAATTTGAAGTCTTATTGTTTGCGCTGACTGACAAAGTATCTCTTAACACATACAAAGTTGATTATCAAAAGCTTTTGATTCCTTTACTGTACATTTTTCAACGACTTTGTATACGTAATGTAGTAGAGCTGTAATCCAGTGATTCGGGCATTCAGTTTTCAACCACTAGTTCTCAGCTTTGTGCCCCACTCCATCTACACCGATTTGGACAAGCAGATAGTTATCACTAACACTATCACTTGTTCAACTGTCCCATTGTGGCATATAGCTCTAAAAACTGAAATAACAGAAATAGTCGTCTGATTTTGAGACAAGTTTTAAATAATTTGCCTATTAATGACTTCATATAACAATTCTTAAATTGTCCTCTCTTGTAAAAAGTTTTATGACCTGAAAAGCAAATAAATTATTTATTTATTTTAACACAGAAATATTGGTACAAAGGGCACCGAATACATATGCAGCCACACAAAGCACTTGATTTATGTGTGGGCTGTGATACTGCCCGGTTACCCACACCGAAGCACATGGTTTTCTTAGGGGGTCACACTCTGAGCCTTCGACCGAAAGGTCTGATCCAGAAGGCAATGGAGCAACGTCAGGTGATGCAGTCTCATGGTAGCCGCTAATCAACAATTTGTTTATACGCCATTTGTCCCTTCAGGATCTTGGAGTCCATGTGCACCATTTGTTTAGAATGAGGGTTTTCCAACTGCCCTAGGTGGACCTTCCGTGTCCACTAACCCGCTTTTCGTCCTCTCAATTTCGTAAACAATATCCCCTCCGCGAAAAGACAGTGAGTAGGACTTTCCTAGTAGTGACTGTATATGCGTGACCATATGAGAGCATTTCAAAAGGGAGAGTTTACTCTCCCCACCCTCGGCCGTACCAGGGTATTTTGGGGCTCAAAGTACTTATGCTTTCAATATGCTAATATCAGTTATCATAAATTTCGGAAATTTAATTATTTGCTTTATATGTCTATTAAGTTATGCTAATTAATTGTTCCATGTCTCTTTTTAAAAATAGCCTAGTGATGCTCCTGGCAAATCTCGGAATGTATCTAATCTTAAACGTCCTGCTCCAGAGGAGTCATCATCTTCAGACTCGTGGGGTTCAGAGTCAACTGCCACACAACAATCCAATGAACATAATCCACCATTTCACCATCATCAACCGATGACATCGGTTGTGAGTCATTCCAGTAGTGGAAGAGAGATAGATCAATCGCTGCCACCGCCACCCCCAACTAAACGGTCTCGTCAAACTCTCACACCCATACTTACATCTGATGCTAATTACCATTTGAAATTCTCTTATGGGATCAATGCATGGCGTCACTGGGTGCAGCAAAAATCAACTTCTTCATCTACAGACAAACCTAGATCTAATGCAGCTGCAATGCAACAATATTCACACTTATATGCTGACTTATTAAACATGAGTGATGCCGATCTTAATATCGCATTAAGTCAGTTTGTTCGTGAAGTTCGCAAACCAAATAATGAATGTTATGTGGCTGATTCAATTTTCTATTTGTGTCTAGGTGAGTTTTAAAAATTGAAATTATTATTACTATGTTGATTTTATCGTATAACTTGTTTAAGTGCAATTAGGTAATCCTGTAGTTGCCTTTTGAGCTGTGTAATGTAACAATAGAACGGATCTTTAAGTTTTATTTTACTTATAAATTTGAACACATAAAAATTGGTTCAAGGGAACACCTAAAACATTCACCACACGATAACAATAAGGTCGTGAAGTTGATGGACAATGTAAAGTGCGTATAATAAAAGAAGAACAACAACGAACAGAAATTACTGTATGAAAGTGAAATAATAATGGGAGAGGCAGTTCAGTTAAAGAAGTCACGTTCATTTTTACGAAGAAAGTTACAGCAGGACTGCCACTGCCTTTTATACTGAGCCATGTCTGATAACGTCTCAAGCCACTGTGTTACATCATCTCTAGGACCCCAACCAAGGAGTCATGAAGAACCAACAGAAGCCAGTCCTGTACAGCTTTCATACCACGACACCATGTTATACACTGAGCACCTCTCCGCTTTTTCCAATCACTTCCATCGTCGGCAATTAATGCACGACGAGGAATTCTCTGGGACGACATTCGTGAGCAACGTCTAAGCCATCGAATTCGATGTTTCATGATGGTGATACCAATTGATTTATCATCACTGCGCCCGAACACATGATGCCGAACCTCTACATTACTAGCATGGTGCTGCCACTAGATGTCAGCAATCTTTCGGAGTAAAGAAAATAATATTGACAAGCATAGCTAGTTTGCCAAATGTGAATATGCTACTTAAAAATCCTTTGTTTTTTGAGTTGATTGAAATGAACCAACTATTATTTCTACTTTTATCTCACTTTAAGTGGTAGTAATGGGACTTTGTTTTTTTGGTCGTATACGTTTACTCTAAAAGGTATTCAAGAGTATCTCAACGAAAACGGTCGTACTGTAAACTTATTTGGCGATCCTGCGTTCACTAGTCTATCTAGAGCTTTGAATGAAATATTAGCCAATTTCCAACCACGTATTAGTCCTGAAGGACTTCTTATCTGTCGTATCGAAGAAGAACATTTATGGGAAGCAAAACAATTAGGTTCACAATCCGCTGAGGTAGGTTCTAATGTATTCAAGAGATTTTTAAAAAAGATTAGTAATCCAAGATTTATGTGTACGTAAACATTTTGAATGTTTATTGTAAAGATTGTTTAAATATCAATATGAAGACATTTGGGAAATCTCTTGGTAAATAACTACGTGTTATATCTTGATATGATATATACTTTGAAATATCAGTAAGAATTCCTCATAGGATGTTTATGTCTTTAGTTGTAAACACTAAACCATCAATTGGCATCAATTAATTTGGAAATTTTTTTCCGTCTACATAAGATAAAGTAATAAAATGCATTTGTAGAAAATCATAATAGTAGATTTCATGTCTATTGGTCCCCACTAACAATGCTGCTTCTAAACTATAGCAACCAATAGATTGAAGATTCAAACCACACTTAACTTCATTTTAGGGATTCCAGATAGTATAACACTAACCCACCTGCCTGTGTAGACAGTGTTACTCGGAGCTAAGTACATAAACTGTTAATTCATTTACATGAATTTAAAGATTTTGAGTAACCTTAGGATAAACCAAATTTTTCTGTGAAGCATTTGAGTTCAAGTCTGCAAACACTAACAAGTGACATTATTCTCGACCAATTTAAGTGAGATGAAAATAGATACACAAACTATAAATGAGAGTTAGAACTATGCAAAACAAGAAATTGGGAATGTCAGATTAATTTCTAGTTTAAACTGTTTGATTGTGAAACCCTCTATCGAATTCACACTGATCTATAACTGTTTCATTTAAACCTTACGAGTATAGGGTTATGGATATTATCTAGTTTTTGATCGAGATCATGAACTGATTGATGTTAGACCATCATTGAAAACCTGAAAGCACTGCTGAGGAGTCCCACATTAGAACAAACGGCCGTCCAGTACTTCCATGTTTTCAGTGGTGGTCTAACATCAATCAGTTCATGATCTCATTGATGAACCTAATGAAATAGTTTAGAACAACAACCCTAGTTACACAACTCATCGTTCCAGAATTAAACCAAATTTATTCACCAAGTATTTATGTATGATTCGTGCTCCAAGTGTGAAACCTAAAGGTACTGCCTGGTCTCCTAAATTGAAGTAGATAGAGTAGTATTCAAACCTGGGCTGTAGTGAGTGAAAGTCGGACACCTTAAACTACTAAGTCATTGCTCCATAACTAGCTAGTAGTCCATTGATTTACATTCTGCTACTTCGTAGCCAGAAAATGGAGATGATCGTCAAGAATAAACTTTAAAAATACTATGCATTATTATTAGTTCTATTATTTTCTTTTATTCAATGTATATTTTAGATTTTATTATTCACTATGCTTTATTACAATACCAAACATATTGGTTTACGACTTGGTACCGTTCATCGACAATTATCATTCTCACAATTTCAAATATCTGAAACAGCTGTTCTTTGTCATTTACCTGGTAATATGTTTGGTGAATCAGATGATTCTATCACTACATTAAGTTTAGATGCAAATCCTCAAAATCCACAACGATGTCCTGTTAAACTTTACAAAGCATACTTTGCCCGTTGGTAAGTTTCTATAAAAATATAAAATTAACAATTTCGTCCCAATACTCACCTGTCCACTGTATTATAGCATAGAGTTCCTATGTAAACTCAATGTGATCCTTTTAAATAATAAATACAGTAGTTAAAACGGAATATAAAAATTATCACTGTTCGTAAAGTATTAACAACAAAATAAGATGAGATCATGTTATTACTCGGCTTGAATTATTGTTCTTTCAGTCAGAAACATAACCTGATTGCTATAGATATCAATTCCATCTGAAGACCAACATTATCTAAACACCGTACAACCACTTCCTTTCCAAGTAGCTGTGGAAACAGCAGTGACATATATTAGTGATCCAAACCACATGTTTACAAAGAACCAATGGATTTCTTCAAGGTCTATCACACTGATGGATTCTCGTAAACTCATCCCATCAGGTTCTGAACACGATGGAGAGCGTAAACAAATCAGATCTAGGTTAAGCAAAAGTCTAAGGAACGACCGTGAGCAGTGGTAGGCAACGAAAGCAAAAGAGATGGAAAAGGCGGTGGCTATAGGGAACACGAGACAGCTCTACAGACTAATAAAAGAAACTGGAATTAATAAATCAAGTAAAAGTGAGACTATTTTGAAAAAAGATGACACTCCCAGTCCAGACGTTGAGAACGATGGGCGGAACATTTCAGAGAACAGTTCAGTTGGCCTTCAGCTACTCTACAACTACCCATCATTCCCAGACAGTGTGGATGGAACTTTGATTAGGTCCCCAACTCTAGCAGAAGTCCAAAAGGCTACAGTTAATCTGAAACGAGGAAGGGAAGCTGGTCCAGATGGATTGGCTCCAGAGGTCTTTAAGGATGGTGGTCCAATTTTAGCGATTATGTTGACTAATATTTTAGCTAAAATCTGGGAGTTAGACGTTATCCCATCCAACTGGTCACAATCACTTATCGTCCCAATATATAAGAAAGAGTCGAAATCATCCTGTGACAACCATAGAGGTATTAGTTTGACCAACATAGCATCTAAAATACTAGCCTCGATAATTATCAGACGCTTAACTAAGACTCATGAACTGCAAACACGAGAGAATCAAGCTGGCTTCAGACCTGGTCGTGGCTGCATCGACCACATATTCACCATTCGTCAGGTTCTAGAACATAGACATACTTACCGGCGTCCGACAATGGTGGTCTTTCTTGACTTAGAAGCAGCATTTGACTCCGTAGACCGCGAGATTCTGTCATTCGAAGGTGTACCTCAGAAGTACATAAACCTTGTAAGGGCTCTTTACTCGAACACTACAAGTCGAGTCAAAGTCTATGGCAAACTGTCATCTGCTTTTGCAACCTCAAGTGGTGTCCGTCAAGGCTATCCAATTTCTCCATTTTTGTTTGACTTCATCATAAACCTACTGATAGAAATAACATTATTGTCGACTTAATTCTCGGGTATTGATCTCCTTCCAGGAGGTGCACTTATCGACTTCACCTGTGGCGAAGTCGAGATATCTTTCTATTAATAAAAGACAAGTATATCCCACGATAGTTCGTTCTGTTCTACTTAACGGCTGCGAAACGTGGCCATTAGGAGTAGAAGATACTTATAAGTTACTAGTACTTGATCACAGATGTTTTGGAAATATTGCTCGCATCTACTGGGATCACCGGGTAGGTAATAGTGAGGTTAGACGCAAGGTATTAAGGAATGATGGTAAATCAGTTGATGAGGTTGTGAATCTTCATCGACTGAGATGGTTGGGCCAAGTGTTGCGTATTCCTGAACACCGATTACCACGACGCGCAATACTGACTGATGTTGGAGACGATTGGAAGAAAGTTAGGGGCGGCCAAACCAAAACGTGGCATCAGTCCTTGAAGTCACTAACTTCTGGTCTGAGCCATGTTGGTAGATGCAGACTACTTAGTTAGAGTCCGCGTGACTATCGTATCCAATGGTTGAGACTTGGTGACATGGCTCAGAATCGATCACAATGGCGTCGGTGTATACACACTCCCTGTCTTCCCTTAAACTAAGAGACTAAAATTGCTTTGTATCTTTCTTCCTGTACTATGTCCTTATATGCAATCTTTCCTTTATATATTACCACCATTGACTTAACCACTCTTATGAATCCGGTGTTTATCTTGTTGTGCTAATGCGGTACGGCAATGAAATAGATGCATATATATGTCTGGTCCTACGTTGTAGCTGACTGACTGACTGACTGAAACCATCTAAGTTTATTTCTTAGTTATCAGTTTTGTCCATTAACTTGAAACATATGATTTTATTTAGTTGCTTAGTTAGACAAATTAACTCACAATTTTTGGTGTAGAGCAACTAAGAAGCTATCCCATTTAGTATTTATGTTTTCCTCTATTGCCACAAATACTACTAATAATAGCAACCATAATTGTTGCATGCGATTCTCTATTTCATTTATATTCCAGTCCCCCAGAACTACTAGATTCCGATAGTGTGTTCTACTTGAATCCACTATACCCTCCACAATCTGATTTGTGGTTTTCAACCAATCCCGTTCGACCGACTGAATTGCAAGTGATACTTAATAGAATTAAAATGGTGAAAGAGATTCAAGAAGCATTTATGAACAGTCAACCAGATGGGGGCTTCTAAGCTCATTTATATATAACCGTATTCTATATGTATTTTGATTAAATTGTTTCTCTCAAACCAATCTATCAACGATTCCCCCTATTCTCCCTTTTCATATGACTATAAAACAGTGAACATATATGCACATTTGTCTGTCTTTTTTAATCCTATCGTTCTTTATATCATTTTTTTGCCTCACTTTTTCACCTGTATAAACTGATTGTGGAAATAAATTTTCTATCATGTGTTTCATTTTGTTTTAGTACAACAAATTCTTAAACCCCATGCGATATTTTAAATATTAACATCGATGTTATTGCTTGTTACTCTTGGAAATTTCAAGTAAATGGTCACTTTCTCCTCACGGCGATGATGAAAAAGTAATGTAGCTTTATTTGCGAGGCACATGTCTAAGTTCGAGGACTAGGATTACTAATTCGTCAATTTGATCGCATGTAGTAAAATGTTTTTCAAACATATGACCTACTAGGGATGTCACTGGGTCACTTTTCCTAAATTGTTTGCGGTCCTTCATAGTTGTCTCTGAACCCTGGTCGTTACAAATTCGTGAATATGAGAAATGTTCCTTGCCACCATATATGCAATCTAACATCATACTGAAGGATTGGGCGTAGCCTACATCCACTGCCTTATTCTAGGTTGTAAAATGGTCTCGAAACAAAGATTTTAAAGGTTTTTACCTTCGGAGTTAGTGATTTTATCCTATTCTTCCCACCAACTTGTTATGAACTTTGCATCAATATCAGTATTTGTGATGTAGATGTACGCTTAGTTCCTATTATACATATATTGGAGATGTTGGTCAAAGGAAAATCTAACTAATTCAGCGTACACGCTAGGTTCAGTTCATTTATCCTAATCTATTTCTGGAGTATTGACTAGATTGTGATTTGTCTAGAAAATGACGCTATATCATTTAATTATTGGTCATACAGTTCATGAAAAAGGACTGGGAGTGTTTAACTGACACTGATAATTTCTATCCAGGGCCATCAGAAGAAAGTTGACCTGACAGCAGTATGTGTGTTCCGTGTCAATCCACATAAACGTCAGTCTTCCTAATAGTTAGATTAACGACTCGGCGAAATGGCAGCTACTACCTAATGTAGTTAGTGTGGTTCGTCAGTTTGTATTGTGTATTCTTTTCCTAAAGTGATATGATGTATCATGAACAGGGTAGTCACTGATGTAATATCTCCGCCAGTCTTATGATCAGATCAACTAAAACCCTATCTAATTTATGGTTATCTACCACATTAAATTTTTGTGTCTATGTTGCCCAATGGAAGAGATATGGCACTTCAAGTCTAAAGTTGTTAGCGCCTGGTTACATATTAGTGATGAAACTGTTGTCGTTTCACATAAATACTCTATTGTTTCTCACTCAAAAGTATTTAAGGACCAAAAGGATGTCAGAGGACCTCGAGAACGTTTCTTTTAGGGTTTTCACATTCAGTTCTTGGTGAGCCTCACTTTATAATATCTCATGTTAGTGGATGAAACAAGTATGTTTCCGACACCTAGCATTCTACTTGTTAGTTGTAGAAGGACGCTGGTCATTCATTTGTATCCTCCAGTCAAAGATGATGGTGAACTTTTGTTTGTGTATGGATACGAAAATGCCTAAGTATTTCAGTTTAGCAGAGTACTCTGTGTGTCCTACATCTGTCAGCTCAAGGAGCTTTGTATGAACTATCAACAAAGCAGAGAGTTTCAAACGGTCTGCATTAATGACTGACGGTAACTACTAATTTGTGATTCCATAGGACTAAGTGTAGAAGTGAATAACCCCCAGAAATAAATGGTGAAACGAGCTAGCTTAATTTCAATCTGATGACGGTAACCGGTATTTAAAAAGCTTCATAGCCCGAAATAGTAGATTTTATGATTGTAAGTTAATCAGCATCTCAGCTTCATCGGTTAGGAACTTCAACCAACACCTCCGTTCGTTATTGCTTGGCAGCTGGCAAACGAAGTGAAAACTAGGTTCCGTCGCTTGTTTCATCATCTGTTACGTTTTTTGTTTTGATAACCTTTCTATTATTCCAGATATTTCAATGACTTAATATAAATTCGAGCCATTAAGGCCAGAGACTCTCAAGTGGGCGGTTGTGAAAAAATCCCCGTAACCATGCAATCAGCTGTTGTATGAGAGTCATCAAGATCCCTCCAGTCAAACTGTTTGCAACAAAAATACTCCCTGCATTTCAATTTACTAGTAATCCCAACGTTACCTCTTGCTTAACAAACAAGCTTAATATCACTTGGCAGTTAAACGTGTTTATAAAATCACCGAAATAAAATGACCAAACAGTGATACGGCACTCTAAAATGGGAATGAAAGCGCTGAACGAAGATTTATTCAGGATCACGAAGGTTCCTTTGAGAGTTGGGTTCATAACTTCAATTTAGAAACACTGGATTTCGAAAACTTAGTATCATAATTACGGCTATGGCCGATCCAATATACAAGCCTTACTGGGAACAATTATTGGTAGAGACCAAAACGAAATAAGACAGTCAGGCATTTATTGTGTATTTCGATGCTAACTGTCCTTGTAAATAAAACAAAGGCCAGTGCAATATCACTCCTTTGAACAGAAAATAAGTCTTCATTCGTGATAAATTCACAGATAGACTTCATGGGCATATAGGTGGGACATTTCAAAATCAATACACCTATGGATGACTTCGAGGTAAATTCAGAAGAAGACATTTCCTGTTACAAGCTAGGTCACTTATCTAACTGATTACTAGGGGTCTGTCAATGTCTCAAGAAATTAATTCTCTCTATGACATCCATGTTTCACTCAAGATAATCCTTCAGGAGTTTAAATATAGCTTAATTGGTACCAAATATTTCAGGCAATCTGTCGAGTCAGATATAATACCAAAGACTAAATTATTAGTAATTATTATAAATGTTTGCAACACAGCAGCTATAACAATTCTGCTAACTCATTCCAGCGGAAGAGTCGGTTGAAATCTCAGTCACTTGATATGGGAACGTTGAAAAAAACTCTGAATTCTCAGCTTAAATGACGGAACAAATACTAAATTTAAGGAAAAAATAAAAACCTAGCAACTGATGTGAAATACAGAGAAGGTAGAAAAAATGTCGGTAGATAAAGAATCCAAGTGTACCTCACTAAAATGGATATAACCGAATCATGTATGTGCTCACCACGACAGCGGGTACAGGGACTTCCCCCCTTACTTTTACGGTGGCATCTAAAGAATTATGTCAACACAGTTCATAAGCTTTTACTTTCAGGACGCGAAGGCAAAGCCGAAACCACATTGTTACTAAACTCATACTGACTCTCACCATTATTAGCCGTCCCCTTAATTAATGTAGAGTTATTTATGTTCAGAAGGCAGTACCCATAAGTAGATTTAGAAATAAATACAGTTTTACAGTCATTTTAAACATGTCAAATAGAAGGAGACTTTGTAGATTGCGTGAAATTTCGCGGAGACCTATCACCATTTCAGTTTTTAAGCAGGCTAGAATTTATGCACAATGGTCTTCCAACTTTTAACCGTCTCAGTGTGTCAGCCACTACAGCCGCATTTACCACACGTGGTCCTGAGACCCTAATGAATACCGCGTTAAATGCATACGAAAACCTGATCTAAACAAAAACTAAGTAAACTACAGAGTGACAAGAAGAGAAACGAAGCAAAATGGCATACAAGTACAAATACACTAAACACGCAGTCAAATCATAGACGACAAATATTCAGTCATAAATTAAGAATTCTTCATCACCGATTTTGGGCCATCTCTACTGGGTCTAGAAGACTTAGGAATGCTTCAGGGACAGCATTCCCCATTGACCACTGATGACGGTCCTAATGAAGTGCTTAACAACTTGCTAACTACAGGATCGAGGTGAGAACAACGCGTGACCCCAAAGCTCTATCATTTTCATTCGCAAGCAAGAAATGTCAAGACCATGTAAACAAACGTCCATTCTAATACTGCTGTGAAATCCAAAGATACGGCGAGGAGAGTAGACAAAGTCTTTTAGTGCAGAATTACTAGGCCGTACGCAAAAGAAACAATGATGAAATTGCTTAGACAAAAAATCTTCGTACAAGAACGCCTTTTCCATAGTCTACGAAAGGTCTGCCAAAACAGGCCAATAAGTCCATGGTTCATATGAAAGCCAGTCACAACAAGTGGATACGTTACAAGGACCAAGATGGGTCTGTTCCAATTTCCATTGTTAATTCTAGCACCAATAAGTACATTCTAGATCATGCAAAGATTATACCGAATACACAGGCGAACAGACGCATGATGAACCTAAGGAAAAGACGTACAACTGATAGCGAAAATCTGAATTTCCATTTCATTTGTGACGGTAGTTGTATTTATACTCACTAATAATTTCTTCGTGCCTGATTGCGCGCTCGTTGCGAATTTCAAATATATTACGTCCAGTAGTGCTCATTTAGTTCTATCTAACATAAATAGCACTAATTCGGGAATTCTTAGTTAACACACTAATTAGACTTATTCTAATTATCATACCTTGAGTCGTTGGCCTTCTTCATTCGGACCAAATTTTGGAATTTCGGTCGGTACAATCTCCTCTTGAGCCTTATCACCATATCTCACCGCTTGCAGGTGTCTATCGATATCTGTAACTCTACTTTTGTATCATGACTTGCAGTATCCCATGACAAGCAAAAGGTGAAGTGTGTTTATACATGGAGGGTCACAAAGTGGAAGATTCCAGTTTCAGGCATATCTTTTTGCTCTCCAAGTTTGTGAGCGTCATTGAAACGTTATTTAGTGAGTCCATCCGAAACTGTGTACTCAATAATTCTATTGTGTTCGAAGTTTAGTGTGACTGCTTTCCAGATATATGATTGGGATAATTATTAGTAATCGATTTAATATACTAGCTATTAATCACCAGGACTGTCTATTTAATGCTCCAGTTATTACGAACCAACTGTACTCAGGTCAGAACGATATTGTTGATCACACTCGAAGGTAATGGATTTTGCAATTCAAGTTAGGTGAGGAACAGTGTACAAATAAACGGCCATTAAACATTAGTACTGCAGCGTACGACCTTAGCATGTTACTGAAGAAAACTTCAGGAGCAATATCACAGTTCTGAGCGCATATATTTCTTAGATCTATTAAAAACTTTCGACGGAATCGGTCATCGAACATTCTGCATGGAACTCATATAAGCGGGAATTATTGA